TAAAGATTCAAATGTATCATCTGAAGGTGAACCTGAACGGTTGATATAAATTAACACGTGTGAATGGGGGGAAGTGTTAGCAATAATGATAATTTGTTTTAATATCGTTAATGTTTTACCTTTATTTTGTTTACCAATTGCTGCAGTGATTGAATTTAAGTAACATTCAGAATATGGAATTTTCATTAATTTTTCCTTAGATAGAGCATTTCTATTATCACTCAATGCTTCATTAATCATATCATCTACGTATGTATTATATACTCCCGCTAATTCTTCATAAGGGGTGGATGAATTTAAATCCATTTAATCAAAAATAAATTTATAATTTTAAACATTTCTATTCATCAATATTTCATCATATGAACTTCTATACTGTGGTGGTGTACCTGTTGGATGATATTTCAAACCTTCATCCGGTGTCCATGTCCAATATGTAGTCCTAGTAAACCAAACCTGAGGAGGATTTGTCACCTTTGAACAGTAAGTGTCATTTTCACCCTGAATGATTGGATAAGCTTTCACTTGTACTGTAACTTGTGAGTTGAAAGTTTCTAATCCATCAAAGAATATACCCGCTCCATCACGTTGAACTGGAATAGTGCATAAGAATGAAGTTTGGTCTTTCCATGTTCTAGCTAATGGCGTGCCATTATCATCATTCAGTGGTCTAGTTAATGAGTCCTCGTATTCTTCTGTGCATTCATTCACTCCATCTAAATCAGAAGCTTGAAGCATACGTGTAAAGAATATGTCACCCACTGTGGTCATCGCTTGATCGGGGAAGTTTCTGGAATCTATAGTGACCTGAAGACCTCGAAGCATTGGATTTTCTAAAACCGTTCTTTGCATTGCATTCTTCGGAAATGTTAACACAACATCTGTAACATTATGAAGAGCGTATGAGAAATCTGAGCTGATACCTTCAGGAGTGATGCAACCTCCATTTAGTGAACGAACGTCAATATGTTGAGCTGGAATCATGAATGGATCTTCCTTACTGAATAAACGTGGTATTGCTTTAACTGATTCTTCAATTAAACCGTATCCTGGTGTAATGCATTTATCCTCTAAAACTTCCATCTTTGTGCATGAAATAATAACGTCATCAACTGTTGCGTTAGCAGATGTATCGGCTAAGCTTGTAATTAATTTGGCAGGAAGTCCGATTTGTTGGAATTTGCGATCATATTTATAAACATGATTCATAATCTTTTCATAATTTTCATCAGTTATCTTTTCATAAACGTAATTTTGTAAATCAGCAACTCTTAACGGGTCAACCTGACAAAATACTAAAGTATCCCTGAAAACATAATATTTAAGAATGATTTCACCAAATGATTTAGGATAATCATCGAACGCCTGAAATGCTAACAAATCATTTACCGGAATAATCATATCAAAAGTGATATCAACTTCTTCATTTGCGTTTTGAAAACTTCTAAAGGGTCAATATATTTACCACATACTGAGTTATCATATTTTTGAACATTATTATATAACGAATGAACAAACTTTTTAACTTTCCTTTCTGATTTTGGTTTATATGTTGCAAATGCGAAAGATTCACGGGCGCAATCCATTTGAAGATAACCGGCATCACCTCTTTCGGTTTCTACTTCTAATTGTTTAAAGCTTTGATTTGATGATTTGTTCTTATATACGAAAAAAAGAGATCTGACATTGTGTCAGATCTCAGTAAAAGTGACATTTACATGTCAAAAAAATAGAATGAGTTTAAGTAATTAAAATTGAGGGTGAGAGTAGTATTGTATGAAATAATATCTCTCACCCTCCAATTCATCCTATGGCGCCGAAAAAATTTTGGTGAAATGCGACCACATTTCACCAAAATTTCTCGGCGCCATATAGAGAACTAGAGCCTGTGAGGTACTGATACTATCCATGTACCTCGCAGGCTCTAGTTCCAAGCCAAATGGCTAAAAATTGCCCGCAATTGTTCACATTGCGGGCAATTTTTAGCCATTTTGGCTGGGAATTGGAGGGTGAGAGTAGTATTGTATGAAATAATATCTCTCACCCTCCAATTCATCCTATGGCGCCGAAAAAATTTTGGTGAAATGCGACCACATTTCACCAAAATTTCTCGGCGCCATATAGAGAACTAGAGCCTGTGAGGTACTGATACTATCCATGTACCTCGCAGGCTCTAGTTCCAAGCCAAAATGGCTAAAAATTGCCCGCAATTGTTCACATTGCGGGCAATTTTTAGCCATTTTGGCTGGGAATTGGAGGGTGAGAGTAGTATTGTATGAAATAATATCTCTCACCCTCCAATTCATCCTATGGCGCCGAAAAAATTTTGGTGAAATGCGACCACATTTCACCAAAATTTCTCGGCGCCATATAGAGAACTAGAGCCTGTGAGGTACTGATACTATCCATGTACCTCGCAGGCTCTAGTTCCAAGCCAAAATGGCTAAAAATTGCCCGCAATTGTTCACATTGCGGGCAATTTTTTAGCCATTTTGGCTGGGAATTGGAGGGTGAGAGTAGTATTGTATGAAATAATATCTCTCACCCTCCAATTCATCCTATGGCGCCGAAAAAATTTTGGTGAAATGCGACCACATTTCACCAAAATTTCTCGGCGCCATATAGAGAACTAGAGCCTGTGAGGTACTGATACTATCCATGTACCTCGCAGGCTCTAGTTCCAAGCCAAAATGGCTAAAAATTGCCCGCAATTGTTCACATTGCGGGCAATTTTTAGCCATTTTGGCTGGGAATTGGAGGGTGAGAGTAGTATTGTATGAATAATATCTCTCACCCTCCAATTCATCCTATGGCGCCGAAAAAATTTTGGTGAAATGCGACCACATTTCACCAAAATTTCTCGCGCCATATAGAGAACTAGAGCCTGTGAGGTACTGATACTATCCATGTACCTCGCAGGCTCTAGTTCCAAGCCAAAATGGCTAAAAATTGCCCGCAATTGTTCACATTGCGGGCAATTTTTAGCCATTTTGGCTGGGAATTGGAGGGTGAGAGTAGTATTGTATGAAATAATATCTCTCACCCTCCAATTCATCCTATGGCGCCGAAAAAATTTTGGTGAAATGCGACCACATTTCACCAAAATTTCTCGGCGTCATATAGAGAACTAGAGCCTGTGAGGTACTGATACTATCCATGTACCTCGCAGGCTCTAGTTCCAAGCCAAAATGGCTAAAAATTGCCCGCAATTGTTCACATTCCCATCTTTTGTTGGTAAGACGAAGAATATGAAATAAATTATGAAGAAGATAATGATGAATAAAATATCACTTTTTATATTTTTGACACGTAAAGTTGTCACTTTTCTGTCAAACTGTTTTTATCGTTTTCGTATATAACATTGTAACCAACGAATAAACGCATGCATTTAAAAGCGGCATCACATGTGAAAGCTTTATTTGAAACTAGAGTTGCTTTAACTTTGCGTTTAATATATGTGTCACCTAATTGATTCACATCATGAGCCGGATTTGTAATTCTTAAATGAGTTTGTTTATCATCAAAATATGGAGCATCAGAGTCATAGCATGAACTTTCAAGTTCTCTATAATATCTTCTACCGTCATTCTTTGCGAATATTTCATTTATCTTTTCGAATGAATGAAACACATTTCCATTAATCGGTTTAGTGTTTGGCACCAAATAGTTAGTCGTCATTTATTAATAAATAAAAAATCAAAATTAAAAGATGAAAATGAATTTTTAATTTTAATGAAATAATCAACTATGGCTGCAGGATTCTTTAAGAAACTGTGGGATAGAGTAAAAAGAGGAGCGCATAAAGTTTGGGAAACAATGAAGAAAGGAGCAAATTGGATATTTAAGAAAGTTAGTATGGTTAAGTCGTGTACTGTGGCACTGCGCGCCTCCGTACACAACTTAGCGGTTTTGACACTTTACGAAACCAGTAACGTATATTTTACAACACAACCATAACACCAACTTAACCTTAAATATTTACAAAACTATCTGACACATAAACGACTTCACTAATGACTTCACTAACGACTTCACTACCGTCCTCACTACCGTCCTCACTAAATAAAAAATAACCTTATTTTTATTTTTTTAAATTTTTTATTTCATTACAAAGACATGTCCGACTACATTTACTATGACTCTTTCCCAGAACGTTTCCGTGAACTATTCAAAACTCAAGTAAAACTGAGAAACATGCATTTTAACAAAGACAGACCCATTGACGATGAAAGAAACCCTGAATATATTACAATCCCTTATGATGCAAAGTTCATTGCATACATTCCTTATGGTCGCAGAGGAACGAAAACTATTTCAACAAAGAACAAAAATTATTTCTGGAGCGATGAAGAAAATTGCCTTATCTACATAAATGCATACTTAAATAAAGCTACATATTGTACAAAAGAAGGTTGGACTGGATTTGAGCTCTACATATACGACGACGATGGAAACAGACGCTGTGTATACCCATACGATAATATGTACCATTGTTTTCATCAAGCATTAAACGAATACATAGTCAGTAAGGGTCTCATTCCTGTTGAGTAGATATGTTATATTTTTGTTTTGTCATTTATATAAAAATAAACTTAAAAATTAATGATATCACCACCCTCACACGTATGAAAACATAGCACAAAAATAAATTTAGGTGAAGTGGTGAGATGTCACCTGTTTTTTCACCTGTTTTCTCACCCACTTGAATTCATTACTTTATAACTCTCTTCCTTTCTCCAACTCTTCTAACTTCTTCTTAAGTTCAGCAATGTTGTCCTCATGAAGTTTAATCTTCCTTAATATACCTTCTCTATCTAATGGTTGCTTTATCTTTCTAAACTGAACTCTACCATCCTTCATAGTATGAACGTAAAAACCTTCTGGAACCGCTCCTGATTTAATGTATTCTACCAAAAACTTTTGTTTCATTGCTTCAGTGACTTTAGTCGTCATTTCAATCAATAAAAAATTTTAATATTAAATAAAAATAACGTTATTTTTCAGTAAGGAAACGCAGGAGTTTTACGATTTATTTGAGGCGTGGGTTCTGGTTTAAATGTTGGAGTCGGTTTAGGAGTTGACTTTTGAACAGGAGTTTGTACTTCCATAGGTTCAGGAGTCATTGAAGGTTTTGCTTGTGAAGGTGTTGGAGTTTGTTTAACTTCAGCTACTTCAGTATTATTTACAACATTTGCTTTATTTCTTTTCAACATCATAACTGCTCCTGCTGTAGCTAGCAAACCTAGTGGGAGACCATATCTTATATAAGGACTTGACCAAATGCTATTTTTGACAGGAGCTGGTGGAACACCTAACCTTGGTGAGACTGCTCTTTGCCATTGTGCAGCTCGTAAGAAATATTCAATAGGTGCTCCATAATCGTTTGGTAAAGTTTGTTTCATAGATGGTGAAGGTTCGCGAGAGCTTGATGAAGAACTCATTTATAAGCTTTAAAAATAAACGTTCATCCTTTATTCCTCACTGTCGTCCGTAGCTAAGTTATAGTCATCTAATCTTATTATGGGGATTCCATTAGCACGCACCTGAATGGCAAAGCAACAATCCCTCATAAATCCAATAAGTGGCTTTGGTACATTTTCAGTTGCTAGTTCAATAGGTCCTTTAACAGACAATTTGTATGTTATTGGAGCAGTAGATGTTTGACCTTGCTGGAAGCAAAAGTCCACTTCTGTTGGAAAACCACATAAGAAATGTGTGTTGTCATAGCTATCCCATTTATGTTCCACACTACCATCATCCACCAATGACCTCATAACATCTTCATTAAATCCTATCATATCATTGTTTGTATTGCAAGCGTTCGCAACCATTTCATAAAATACAGGTCATATGATTTTTCAGGTTCTGCAGGTATATTTCCATAAGCTCCCATGGAAAGCTGAAGATATTTAAACTTAGGGTTTCCAAAATTAACATAATAGTTGTCTTTCTTTCTAAATAGTGCCCAAATACTTTTAACATTAATAGGCGTATAAGCTGCTGTAAATGTTGCACTTGAACTATCTGTATTCTTTGAGAATGAACCGTCCATAGGAATCCAATCCATAACTTTAACAGGAAAACATAAAGCCTCGTTTGTATAATGTTCTACAAGTTCTGTATAAATGTTAGGGTCTAAAGAGAATGACTTTGGATGAATGAAACATTCATTAAAATCCATCTTTGTTCGAAATAGTTGCTGGTTTACAGTTGTAATAGTAACTGTTCCACTAGCTTCTACTGCCTTCGTTATCATAGTGAATGGTTCATTCCATGGAACAAATTTATTTGTCGGTGGATTTGAATCTGAAGCAAATGCAACTTTAAGAGTTGGATTGAAAGCAATGATATCATTTACAGATATAGATGTGCATTGTAAGGCGTCGCTACTGAACTTTACTTTAAGCTGAATGTTACCAGCAAATGCAGGAATAAATCTTATAGCTTCTAATGGAAGGAATCTTCTAACAGGAATTCTTAAACGAAGCTTAAAATCAAATGATTTTCCTGCTGTAATTGGACCACTAACAATTTGTCCTGTTCTGCATGTTCCCGAATGACTCCATACATCTTCATGTCGAGTCTTTGAGAAAACATCGACTTTCTTTATTTGTTCGGTAGTTTGTGAGTTTGAAGTTATATATGCTTCTTCTCTTGCGTTGTCTTGAGAATATACGATACGACCATTTGCAAGGATTTGATATCCAGCAACTGCATAGAAAGCGTCATCGAAACCAATCCAAAATCCTGGTGGGTTTGTTTTATTGGAACCTGAACCAATTTCTTTATCTACAATAAATTGACCTTCCATTTTATACGTAATGAATGTATTGTAAAGGTCCAACATATTTTCACCAGGAGGTGAGAGATTGAATGTTACCCATGTGTTATCTTTAGCAGTTCCAGGTTGTGATGGAATCTTTGCGTCAGAATATTTTCTATTAGTGTCACCAATTTGAACTGCATTGTCTATGATATCGAAATATGAGCGAATCTGATGAATATGCTCTGCTGGAGTAAATTCGTTTAGCTGTTCGTTCTGCATGTATTTACTTCGGATAAAAATATCTATTTACTTCATTATTCTCACTCTTCTTCTTGGCATTCGTGGTGGAAGTTGTTTCTTGACATTTTCAATGAACTGTACATTCTCTTTTGTCTCGACTTCTTTCACTGGCGGGTCAGGGTTCTTTGACTCGGTTTGCTTTTCAATGAAATTCACGAACTTTGCAATAAGCTCTTGGTTCGTTATTGAAAGAACATCTGGCTTCTTTTCTTCTTGTTCTATTGACTTTTCAGTTTGAACAGAAGGTTTTATATGGGCTTCGTGGACTTCACCCTTGCCATGCACCTTAATGTTGTCGCTCTCTGTATTCGCTAATGGAACCTTTCTTTTTCTTACATATATTTTACCATCTTTACTCTGACTTACATAATAGAAAGGATGTTGTATTCCTCTGGCGTCATTTAATATAATAGACTCTCGTTCTGATTTTGACAAGCTCATTTTACATCGGTTAAAGTTTTAATTTAGTTTTTTATCTGCAGTCAAATGACTCAGACAAGCCCTACGGACAAGACCCAAGGTGTCATAGATGTTGAAGCATTGAAGAAAGAAATTCGCGAGCAAATTTTATCCGAACTGAAGGAACAAAAACAAGAACAAAAGCCAGAGAGACCAAAGAGAAAACTTAGTGAAAAACAACTAGCTGCATTAGCTGCTGGAAGACAAAAGAACCCACGTTTGCTGGCAAAGAAAGCTAGAGAAGAAGCTGAAGCAAAAGCTAAAGAAGCTGAAGCAAAGAAAGAGTAAATGGTTTATTTTTATCCGAACTAAATGTATAGACAAATACCTTTATCTGTTGCGTTCAGTAGTGAAAACCCTGACGTCAAAATAAAGGGGAACAGAGTAACGTTTAAGTTTCCAACAGACTGGATTGTGAACATAAATGAAGAGAAGTACATTGGCATAACATCTATGTATATAACACGTGCATTTAGGAAAGTTGACTTTATACTTCAAGTCGAGATAGAAAATGACGAACAGTCTTTAAGCGCCCAAAACATTCACATATACAAATACTTTAAAGATGATACAACATTGCAACAATGTATGATTTCATTTAATGAGATGTTCGAGAAAAAATTCAACATTGAAGTACAAACTTTACAGCCTTTACGTGAGTTTCTTGCACAACTGAAAGAAGAAGGTAGTTATGACTTATTTTTGAAGAACTGAAGGTGTCACTACGTCACTCAGTGTCACTCGGTTATTTAACTTCTCTGAAAAAATGAGACAACATGACATTTTGACAACATAGTGGGTTATTCGATAATTAATTATTTTTGAAGAACTGAAGGTGTCACTACGTCACTCAGTGTCACTCGGTTATTTAACTTCTCTGAAAAAATGAGACAACATGACATTTTGACATCACAACAGGATTAATGCAAAAATAAATTCCAGTCATACTTTATAAAGCTTCATTTACAGGTATTTCATCGTCAGTAAATGATTCCTCATTATCGTTTGGTTCAACCTGTTTATATAATCCTTTCATTTCTTCTTTCAAAACATAATACCATGTCTGTTTACCATCTATTCTTCTCTGTTTCTTATCACATTTATCCTTAATACTCATTTGAAAGTTTTTGTCTTTCATGTCTGATGGTTTGCAGAATAGAGCATTTTTACATGTCATACCTGCACACAATTCATCATAATGTGTATTTATCCATACATCTAAAGGATTTGTTGATAATTCTATTAAATCTTGTTTGGCTTCAGTCATCGGTATGATTCGTACATTAAATGATGAAAGGTCGTAATTGAGGAAATACGTCAGTAAATTATCATAAAATTCCTTAGTGCATGAATCCATTAAATTCTTGAAGTAATCAAATTGACCCTTAAATTTACCATTAACCCTTAAAACTACGTATCTTCTGTCTCCAACTTCAATTTTGACAGGGTAGACGTTATTAGTTACGAAAATGAAGTTTGCAACGTTCTGTGCTGTTCTTCTGGGTTGATTCTTTTCATTAATTCTAATCTCATTATCCGTAATAATTGATTTCAAAGCGTTGAAGTTTGCGAGTCTATCTTCACCAACATTCTTGAGTTCATTAAGTACAAGAAACATTTTATTTTCAACAACTGAGTTGAAATTACCCGTTAGCTCACCTATTTCAGTAATGTTTTTACATGAATAACCAGCGAGAAGTTCAGAAATAATATCTGTAAATCTGTTTTTACCTGTTCCCTGAAGTCCTTTCAAAATAATTGCTGTTTCATTCTTGATTCCAGGATGTTGAATCATTGATGCAATCCAGCCGAGAAGGTATTTATACACTTCATCGTTATTATCACAAATGGCTTCTTTAATGAAATTCATAAACATCTCAATTTTTGAGTAATCTGGTTTTTCGAGAATGTTGTATTTATAACCTTGAAACGTTGAGAAAACATCTGGAGAATCAGATTTAAAGCAAACACCCTTAACGGTTAATGAAGACAATTGATTTAGTAGTACATCCCATGCTGTTATTGTTTTACCTTCTTCTTTAAATAATTTAATCATTTTAAGTGACTCTTTCATGTTTGACTGAAGAACAAATGATATTTGATTCATTTTGTCGTGTATGTTGTAATCTTTCTGAATGAAATATTTGTTTCCACAATCTACAAAACGAATTACACGTGATAAATCCTCAATTACTTCAGAACTGTTTTTATACTGATGATTTTCAGCCTTGCGTCTAATATCTGTTATCAAAAACAAGTCATCAAGTTTGATATCAAATGTTATTTTTGGCTTACGTAATAAAGGTAAAACATATTCATCATAATATTCCTTTTGATATAGTTTTAGAATCTTCACCAAAACAAATGGAGAAGTCATTAAATGTGCATATCTACTACGTGCTTTTTCAAAATTACTTTTTGCATTTTCTGTTAAATTGCAGAAGTTATAAACGTTATCGTATGCTTCATTAATCAAATGATTAGGTAACGAATTAATAGCTTGAAACAGTGTGAATAATGTTATTTCTTTTTCTAAATTCATGTTTCCACCGTCATTATGTACTTCAAAATCACTAATACCATCGACTATGCTCTGGGCAAGTTTATCGTCAATGTTTACATCTTTGTTTTCATTCATGATAGTCTTTATTTCTTCGTTCTTCTGTTCAACTCTTACCTTAATATTCAAATCATTTAATATATCATTCACTGTTCTAGTTAATGTTGAATCATAACTTCCACGAATGAATGAGTATGTTTTGATTGGTTCTGTTGCATTCTTGCGAACTCTTGAATCAGCCATAACCACTAAAGAACGCTTTGAATCATCAATAGAAGTCATGATATCAATATCATAATCATTGCAGGAATAACATTTAATCATTCTGTTCGAAACTGCATAGAAGAAATTAGTGTTGCAATAAATGTGAAGACCTCCTGAAGCGGTTTTAACGATAACATCTTTATCCGAAAGTTTTGATAAAATATCTTTTCTAACTGTTTTTTAAGTTCATCATTGTATGATTTATTGATATCAACATCTATAATCGTTAAATTTGAAATTTTATTTACTAATAAAGCCACACCAGTTTTCCTTCCTCTTCCTCCATCATGTTTGAGGTAGTTATGTAAATCAATCTTGTTTTCACCAATTCTTTCGTTGAGGGCTTTAGTTTCTGCCACAACTAATTCCTCAACTAATGAATCAATAACTTTTTCATCAGAAATGATCAAGTTGCTGTTGTTGTTGCTGTTGTTGTTGCTGTTGTTTGTTGCTGTCATTTATATAGAAATAAAAAAATAAAAATAATTTTAAAACTAACTTTATTTTTGGACTGCATCATATTTTCGTAAATGTTGTCAAAATGTCATGTTGTCTCATTTTTTCAGAGAAGTTAAATAACCGAGTGACACTGAGTGACATAGTGACACCTTTAGTTCTTCAAAAATAAGTCATAACTGCCTTCCTCATTTCCCACTATGTTGTCAAAATGTCATGTTGTCTCATTTTTTCAGAGAAGTTAAATAACCGAGTGACACTGAGTGACATAGTGACACCTTTAGTTCTTCAAAAATAAGTCATAACTGCCTAACCTGAAACCATGACGTAAACATTAACGATAACACATATTTCTGCAGTTCATCCACTACTTCATTACCTAATTAATTACAGACATAAAATATATTTAGTTCATTCAATAAATGCAACATAACCATATCTCTGTCTTCTTCATTTTCCATCTCTTCAGCGTAAATCATATACTTATAACTCTTTTCCTTTCCTTTTGGTACTGAACGTGGTATTCTTTTCTGTATGCTTTTGTCTTTGGATTCAATGACTTCATCTTTTGCTTGAAGTTTCTTTTCCATCTCTCCACGTTCTGCTTTATATAGTTCATCTAACATCATGAAAATATAACAAGCATAACGAGGTGAAGCCCACATTGCTACAGCATTTACTAAAAGTCTATGAACATAATAACCTTTCAAACCAGGAGCCAAATTCTTGCGATTTTTCGTACGGAATCTCTTCCCTCGGTTTTCCGAGGGAAGCAATCATATGAGGAAATTCTTCTAAAAGTTCTTTTGTCTGTTGGTTTTCAAACCAATGATATGCTTGCTTTGTAGAACGAAGAGCATTCATTATACTTTGCATTTGGTACATGTCATCTTTGACTGAACGAATGAGACGTAACTGTTTGTTATATTGTATGTACTCGTATTCTTCATTTATGGCTTCATGAACGATAGCAGTTGTTGTGTTCTCTGTTGTTGACATATCTGTCTTTACATACAGGATAAAAAAATAAATAAAATAAAATTAGCGTTATTTCCTGACTTTCACAAAAGACCAAAAATAAACGCTTTACATGTATTTTTCAGCAACTTCGTCAAATAATTTTATAGCTTTATCTATCTCATCTACTTCAAACACGTATGAATATCTTATGCGGTGGGAAGCTAGATGGAAATAAATTTACGTCAAATATGCAATTTATAAAATCTTATGTCGACAGGCTACGTAGCACAGTGGTCTAAGGTGGTGTTATGGAGGGGTCAGGGTCTGTGGTTCGAACCGCGACAGCGCCGTATTTTCTTATTTTCTTTATTTGTCTTGTTTGTCGTGAATAAAAAGTGTCATAAAAGTGCTCTATCTTCCACGGGAATAAATAAAAAATTTACTTTATTTCTTCTTTATTTCTTTGTTCCCGTGGAAGAAGGGTTTTGCTGTTTTTTCTCAGCCGAAATCAATGATTTTTTCATTTTTGGAATCCTTAGCGAATGAGGAATCTTTTCTCTCGTGGAAGCTTTGACCTAAAATATAATTTAGGTGAAGAGGTGACATCTCACCTGTTTTTTCACCTGTTTTCTCACCCTAGTTATTTTATAAACGTTTCACATGGTAAACGTTATTTTTTTAAATTTTGTGAAAACTCAACGGTTTGACACAAGCCCTAAAAATTATTTTACTCAGAATTTTGTTGCTAAATTCAGTAAAAATAATGTTTAGGTGAAGAGGTGAGATGTCACCCGTTTTTTCACCTCTTTTTTCACCCCAGTTTTTTCACAAGCGTTTCACATGAATTGTACGATGTATATTTGAAATCCTAAACAATTTCGTAGCTTCTATTTCTTCTGTCAGTATGTCAAAAGTTTTAACAATACCGAAGGTTTCTTTATACTTCTTCTTGACGTCAGATAGAAGGAAATCTTCTGCTGTTGGATAGTTTTTGTTCAGAAATTCTAACATGTTCATTTTATCTTCTGCTGGCTTTTCTGCTTCTTTCTTTAAGTCTGCATAGTCGTTTCTCATTCTTTCTATCTCTTTGACTGAGTAGTTATATTTCCTCATTGCTGCTTTACATTTAGAACATTGTGGGTTCAACTTTGCGTTATATTCTGAAACCTTACCTGCTAAACAACTAAGGCGTCAATGGTTTTCTTCATCTCAAACATAGCGGGTCTTATCTGTTCATTCCATACCTTACCTCTTCTATCTTTATCTCTTATTTCCCAAACACATTCAGCAACTAATGAAACAAAGTTATCGTAGGTCTTAAACTCCTCAGATTTATATATGTCAGAAATGTTTTTATATACCATGTCGCAATCTTTGTCCATAACCTTATGGTTGCAATGAAAACCAAGGAATTCATAATTTACTTTACGTATGAACTTCTTTATTTCTACTGAGTCAGTTGGTTTCACTTCAATTTCGTCGAATTCAGGAATAGTGAGTTTTTGTTGTTGGATTTCAGGTAGTTTAGGCAAATGGTCAATAATGTCCTGCATTTCATAAAGATACTGTTCATTTGTTTCATCTTTCGCACTACAGTCTAAATTACTTGTTAAAAGTTCTTGCTTTATCTTCTGGATTTTTGTTTCAAAAGTATATGAAGAAGGAATGAAGTTTTTCATCTCTACTAACATTGACGTAGGATTCATGACTAACGAGTTTGGTGCTGTTGTTGTGGACAGAGTCCCGCCGTTCGCGGCTTGAATTGTTGTTGTGCCGATTGTTGAAATCATATCTTTTATACAAAATAAAAAAATAAAAAAAATAAAACTAACTTTATTTTTTATTTCGGGAAAATTCATGAAAATTCAAGAGGTGAAAAAAGAGGTGAAAAAACAGGTGACATCTCACCTCTTCACCTAAACATTATTTTTATTGAATTTAGCAACAAAATGAACGAGGTCAGGATGTATGTTGCTGAATTCATTCATAACACCCTTTGTAAGCTCATAAAATGTTTGTTTTGAGGTCGAGCCACTTTTGGCTCCACCGTATTCTTTCAACCTGAAGCATTTAATATATGTAAAAATATATTGTTTTAAAATGGTATGCCATATAGCTTCTTGAATTTGTTAAGAAGTATTCGAACGTATTTTCCATCTGTATCTCTAGTGTTTACATAAGCATAGCCCGCCTTAGTAAATATACTTGTAATTTCCTATAGTTTACGCCGGTATAAAAGTAGAAAGAGTCTTGTTCTTCGCTATAGTAGTAAAACTCAAACGTATGCTTGCCATAGTCTGTAATTTCAATTGTTTCATCTTCTAGTTCGTCGACAAATTCGAATATAATATCTCCAAATTTGCCTTTGTTCTTATTGTTTTCAGAATAAGTGACCCAACGTAAGTTTTCAAGTCTATTGTCGTTTCTTATATGGTTTATATGGTCTACAAAAGGTAAATTGTTAGGATTCAGTATAAAATGAGTTGCAATGACAACATGTTTAAGATAGTGTTTCCACCCATCTTCATATCAGCATATCCGTCATTTCGCTCCCATTCGCTTAAAACTCTTTTTGTCTTTTTGTTTCTGACTTCAAATGACTCACAACAGTGAATTTCATATTTCTCATCTAACAAACAAGTTTCCCAACGGTCTTCTCCAACAAACTCAGCGTACATTTCAAATAAAATAAAAAAAATATATTGTTTTAAAAATAAATTGTTTTCATGAGTTTTCTACGATGAAATCATGAAAATTCATGAGGTGAGAAAACAGGTGAAAAAACGGGTGACATCTCACCTCTTCACCTAAACATTATTTTTGGTGTAAATTTATGACAAAAATAAATGGTACCATTAATGATATCATGACTGTTCTCATTCATGTCTGATTTTACATCTAATGAAAAAAGTTTAGAAGAATTTCTTATTCTTTCTGGCATGTTTTTATCTTTCCAGTACTCCCGCTCTAATGGTCCCAGATGAGTTGGTTTAGATTCTCTCAAGTTCTTAGATGGTATAACATCTTCAACGCCTCCTTCATATCTTACTTTATAAGTGTCATCGTTTATGTTGTAGTCAAGTATTTCAATAACCACTCCTCGCTTTGCTTCGTCAATGGTTTCAGCAAGTTTGCCATTACTACTTTCAACTAATTTATGTCGAGGGTAAAATGCTATGGAGTCGTCAGCAGCTTTTATAAGATATCCATTACCTTGTGTAGAGTCTACGATATAATAGTTTCTACTTAACCTTAAACGTTTCTTTGTCAACGGTTTGTCGTCAAGAACTACACGAACTTTTGTACCAGGAATGAGGGTAAATTGTGTTGAATTTCTGATATTTTGTGTTTGGCTTCGTTTCTTTTGTATATACTTTTCTTCTTGTTGTTGTGTCATTGAATTTGGTGTATGTCCTGTTGTAGAATGTGTTGAGGAATTGTAAACTTCGATGAAATGTTTCATTGTTTCTTCGGTAAAGTCTCGCTCTTGATTTAAATCTCTGAGCGTTCTTATGAAGCGGTTAATGATACCGAGTATGTTATGGTTATGGTCTTCAGTAGTGTAGTGAGTTATGTTATGCTTAATGAGAAAATCTGTGATTTCATTGCTGAGGTATGCACTGTCTTGGTCTGATGTTAAAGTACTTGGGCTATGTTCTGCTACAAACTTTTGTAAAACTCTTAACACTTCACGAGTTCCTTTATTTTTCATTGGATATGCATATGCTTTACGAGTGTTAACATTAATGAAGATGAGGAATGGTTTATGACCACATTTTCTGCTTTGAATGAGAGTGTCAAATTGGTATGCGTCAGGAGTGTTGGAGTAAATTGGTAAAAAGTAGTCGTAAGGGTTTATTTTTGTTTGATGTACAACATTTTTGTCAAAGAACCTTTTCACTTCAGCTCTGTTAGTAAATCCCCAACTCTTTGCAGCTTCATTGAATTTCTTAAATGACCTCCATGGATGTTGTTCGAATACTTCTTTCAAGCTCATTTATGTAAAGTTAAAGATTTTAACCAACTCGTATCCAAGCGTGCATTGTTATATAAGGAGGCATATAATCTTTTCCATTACCTGCTGGGTCTGTAATACCAGCTACAACATGTGTATGATTTCCTGCAGTTCCACAGAAAATACCTGTGCTTAAATACTGGGTCAGTTGAAATATCATATCTATGCATTCCCTGTCTATCCGAACCCGCTGCAAGATTTGTATAACCTCTTTTTGTTATTGAATGTGAATGGTTTCCTTCCACAGATGTTCTTCCACTGAACCTATGCATATGTGAAGGAAGGTTTTCAATACCTATTTTCTTTGAACCTCCCATCTTCATTGACTGCGTATTAGTGTAGAATGGAAAACTGTCAACTATTTCATACCATCTACCACCAAATAAAGTGTTTGGATTTATTGGATTCATAGACGTATAAACAGCTCCTATAGGATATATTAAATCATATATGCTCATAACTCTATAAACATATTCTAAAGAACTTATGTCATTAAATACCATTTGGAATGTATCTCCCGGATGAAATGTTGCATTTGTTCCACTTTTATAATGTAATGTTAGTTCAATAGAATTATCCAAAAAAATTCAAAAGTATCTGGTTGAAGACCTCTAACAAATTCAAATGGAGTTGATGGTTCACCATTTATAATTTCTGTTGTAAATGTCATTGTATCTGGTTTCGAAAATTTCTTTGTTAGTTCTGCATCCACATAAGTTTTGTCAGCTTTCTTATCTAACATTGCTGGTAGTTCATATGCTTCAAAGTTTCTGGCATGATCTTCGGTATTCCTGCAACTCTTATCTAAATTGTTAAGAGTATCTTTTACGCTTGTACTTGGATTTTCTAATGGTGCACTTGAACCAAGGTCAAAGTTCAATATTATGTCGTCTGCTCTAACAGTAGTGAAGGATTTATGTGTATGGTTCTTGTCAGCTTTCTTATCATATAAATCTTGAGCAGTGAATTTAATATTATGTTCATCCTTCATGACATAAACATCTTTACATCTAATGTTTCTCATCGTCGTTATGTCGTCATCCGATGTTAAACCTTGTGGAAAGTTAGGAGGTTTACAATATAATGCATCCCCGTGCGGCGGGGCTCCGCCCTCCCCACCAGTTTCTTCAACCGTTCCTTCAATACTTTCTATACCAACAGTTGTGAAGAAATCATGTGTATGGTTCTTATCTGCTTTCTTATCTAACATTGCTGGTAGTTCATGTGTTTCAAAGTTTCTGACATGACCTTCAATGTTCATACATTTGTTATTTAAGGAGTTTAGTGTATCTTTTACGCTTGTACTCGGATTCTCTAAAGGTGCACTTGAACCAAGGGTATAGTTCAATATTATGTCGTCTGCTCTAACAGTAGTGAAGGATTTATGTGTATGGTTCTTGTCGGCTTTACTGTCTAAAGAAGTTTGAAGTTCATTTATATCGGAGATGTTGTGTTTATGAGATTTCAAAACTTTGTTCATTGCTTCGAGTTCAACTTTGTCAGCTTTACTTTTAATAGCATCTTCAAACGTTATTTTTGACTTAACTCTCAAAGTAAATCTTGGTTCAACTAATACACCTTTAACAGAGAAAGTAGAGGCATAAATTTCATCGTTATAACTAAATGCTTCTGGTGCTTTACCCGTGTCATACTGTACAGTACAGCTTATGTCATAACCTTTAGCACGAATGTATTTATATCTTCTTTCATTAACATTTTTTGTCTTCGCTTCATCACTTCGTGTTAAATATCCATGGTAGTCCGTTATAATCTGTTCGTCTGAAGTTATATAATGAACGTGGTTTTTATCTGCTTTTTCGGCTAATTTCTTATTAACATCATTCACTTCTAATTCAACTCTTCCGCCAGAACTCTTATTATCATTAATCTTTTTCATTAATTCGGTAATTACGTCATAAAGACTATATTCTGTTTTCGGTTTTGTAAATAATGAGTCAAAATTTCTTTTCATCATTACATCGCTGACATTAATGATATCACCAATTCCTTTTTCATTTATTCTCTTCATTAGTTCTGCAATAATGACGAATATATAATCTGTTAATTTATTCTCTTCATCGAGGGTTATAGAATGTTTTGAAATTGAATCATTAACTCCTCTAAATAAATCAATAACTTCAGGATACACGTTTTTAATGTCTTGAATAACCCGACCAGTATCCTCGCCACTATGTGGCTCTGAGCCCGTTGGGCTCTGTTGTTCATGTTCTTCGTTCCCGTCGTTACGTGGTTTTATATCTCTAACCATCATCAACGCAGCCATAACCGGAGGGTTTGTTGCTACCTGTTCGAAAATCCGTCCGTTATGTACGGTATATCTAAATAATTTCTTTGTGTTTGTTAAAACATTTGAAACAAGTCTTTTAAAACCATCTACAAAATTTCCTGTTTCACCTAATGTTCTTGCAGCATTTACAAGCTCACCCATTCCCGCTTTTGACCCCAAAAACGTCCATATTGCATTTATTTCACTCTGTATAGTTGTCCATTCAGCGAAACTAACACCCGCATTCGCTAAGCTGAAAATGAAATTCAGTGGATCGAACTTAATTCCACCTTCTTTTTCAATTTCAACGAACTCACTAACATGAGATTTTAAGTATTCTTTCGTTAAAATTGTTTTCCCCGATGTTATGTCATTAACGAAACTATCACCGTCAAAAGTTAACGAATTCAATTTCGTCGTTGATGCTTTTATTTCATACACCGCTTTATCGATAGTTTTTGGCTCACCTTCTTTAGAAGCATATGAAACATTAATGAATGAATTATATGTATTCGTGAATGAGTTAAAATCAATGATTTTCATTAATGACGCCTTTAATGATTCATTAACTGTTGAATCCCTTAAAGTAATTAATGAACTGTCATGGGCTTCGCCCTGGTCGCTTCGGTCTGAAAGACCTTCAGGACTCAAAGAGTCCGTTTGCGACTTTATGAAAGGTACACTGCAAACCGTCGAGTTTGGATCAAATGCTGTAGTTGGTGCAGGAATATTAATGATATAAGTCATTAAATCATTAAGTGACGTAAATAATGTTGTTGTTTTTGATTTAATTTCTTTAGCATCTGTTATATATGGTAATTTTATTTCTGTAGTTTCTGAATTAAAGATATTCGCTAAAATGTTTTGTAAACTGTTTTGAACAGCTGTGTAAACCGTTGAATCCGGAACTCTTACGATTTCACCGTCCTTAATAAAAGGCATTGTACATGGTGTAGTGCTTGGGTCAAATCTTTCGGGATTATAATTCAACATATATTCTAACGCTTCATGAACAGACTTATATACTGTTGTGTCGTTCTTCATGACAACTTCACCATTTACAATGAATGGCATAGTGCATGGAGTTAAAATGGGGTCAAACTTTTCATAGTCCTTCCATGTTATGTATTTCTCGGTATTTCCATCACTGATAACAATATATTTGTCAGTAAGTGTGAGAGAGTATTGACCAAAATATAAACGTTTAGCTCTGTCAGTTTCATACGCATATGCAGCAATAGTCATATTTTAATGAGAATAAAATGTTGTTCTATTTGCAAAGTACAGACCCAAACGAATACGGAATAGTAAAGCTACAAACAAACTTAGGTCTTCAGAATGAAGCACTTGCTTTCAGAGTTGTTGACTTCAATACTATCGCAACTTTTGTTCATAACAGATGAAACAGATTTCATGGAGTTTGAAATAGATGGAAAGAAGCACGAAATAAGATTTCACAATAATGTAGAATATAAGATGGAAACATTAGCTGGAGTGTTAAATGCTCTCATAAATACTACAATAAACAAGGAGAACGAAGAAAACTTAATGAATGTTAAACTTATTGCAGGAGTTTTGAAGTTCAGTTATGCAAAGGAGTTTAAGATAACACGAATGAGTCATAGAGTTCAATTGCTTCTGGGAGCATACCATATGACATTTCCTTTGAAAAGTATTGACAAAACGATTGAGATGAAATCTGTTCCATACGTATGTTATGGCAATTGTTTATACATTGAGTCTAAATAGCTAATGTCACAGGTATTTCAGGAGTTAATAGTAAAGGTTCAGTAGAATATAAAGTCTTTCTGTTATGCAGTAAATTCAATGTTCATTCCAAACGTTCCTGTCATAGCAACTCATTTAGGTAAATGGGTTCGCATTAGTCCTCATAATTTGAAAGACATGCAATTCAGACTTGTTGACTTTCAGGGCGAGCCTGTAGAACTGAAGGCACCAGTGCGAATGACTGTTGAAGTTGACTTTTTAGAAAATATTAAATGCAACAGCTTACAAGAGAACTCAGAGCTAAAAATATAAAGTATGAATGTTATGTATTAGGTCATGAACTTTGGTTATTGCTGTTTGATGAAACAAATGAGTTAGTTATGTCAGTCAAGAGAACAGAAAAAGGCGTCAAAGGCGCCGAGCGCAAAGCGCTATATTGTGTTAGTGAAAACTGCACCAAGTCAATAAGATTAGGTTTGCATTATGAAGATGAGTTCGATACTGTTGAAGAAGTTTTGGATAGATATTACAAATTGCTTTAATTTACTAAAACATATTTCAAACATAATTTATATTCTGTTGAAAGTTTTGTATATTCATTCGAATATTTATACTTAAACTCAACTCCTGTAGTTCCTGGTGTTTCAATGATGCGGATGTTACCTATTTTCATGAATGGTGGCGTTTGACCACAGCATTCGATTTCAGGGTCGAGATAGTCAATGACACATTGTTTCCCTGTTATTCGTGATATAACATTTTCAAGGTCCTCCTTTGTTAGAATTATTTGGTTCTTGCTTATAAGATTTGTCAAAAGCTTCTTATCGTCTTTGAGTAAAATTGTTTGGTATAACTGAAGAAGGTAATGGTCTACGTTATCTGAAGGATTTGTTTGAACATTTGTGTAAGGGTTGTCGTTGGCTTCTCTTGAAAGAATTTGGTCCAGTGGTGGATACTCTAACTTAACATCTGATGTAGCGTCAGCGTTTGAAGCTGAGTTTAAATTCACGGATTTCAGTTCTGGTTCTTTTTCTTTCAAACACTCTGAACTATAGTTCTTTATGACAATATTGTTTGTCGTTCGTGAGTCAACATTTGATGTTGGTTCAATTGGAACATTAACGGCACCAGCTAAGATGGATTTACTTCTCATTTCATATAGAATAAAAACCTTTTATATGTATGAAATGAACAATATACTCGACAAGGGTTTGAATGTAAAGCTAACGAATGAAAATATTGTTGAATTCACTGAGACAGGAGCTGTGTATAAAGATGTAGAACTACTGAACAAAAGAGCTAAGGGAAGAAGCAGGAACATGAACAAAGGGTGGAAGCCTATAAAAATTTATGTCAACGATGGCTCAGGAGGTTCAAACATAAAGTATGCAGAAAGTTATAGAGTTTATGCTCTCAAAGGTGAAAAGCCTTCATTTAAGAACAGCTATTCTAACACATATCCTCAAAAGCTAACGGATGGAGAAGTGGATGATATGAATGACAGCAAAAATATTAACAGAAATGGCGACAGAGATGCATGGAATTTGTTTACCATCAGTCAATTGAAGGTTAAACTTTAAAACAATGTTGGTCGTTCCCATGGAATATTTTTGACTTTAATGGTATTAGTCATGATATGAATCTCAAGGTATGAACGAGGAGAGATGAGAGACTTATATGCTTCCCAAATTTCTTCAAAAGGTAATGTTATACCTGACTGTTTCCAAATGAGTTCAATATCATAGCGTGAGAAACCTTGAAAGATAACGAAGTCAGTTATGAGACGTTTTATGTTTAAAGCTAAAAACCTCCATGTTTGCATAAGTATTGCTACAGTTAAATGATAATGTCTGACTTTAGTTATGATGTTAGCTAATGGTGAGTCAGGCTTTGACACTAAACCTTTTCCGGCGAAGTCGTCACAAACGAGCAGAGTGTTTGAAGGATACTTTTTGAAGGGGTATTTTGAAAGTTTTGATAGAATGTAGTTTGTAAGTCGTTTCATATCGTAAACTCCTGAGTATTGACGTAAGTGGTGTTTGTCAATAATTCTTTCCATCTCCTCAGAAGTCTTTTGCATTCCTGACTGTATAAATTCAACGATGGCATAATATTTTCTCTTACGTCGAATGTAACGTTGAAGAAATTCAATGAGTTCACTGTCTGGAACTTTAACGACAGAGGCTTGAACTTTTGACATAAATGTTTTCGCTGTTGAGTCCATAGAGTCTGAAGTTGCTGATATAATGATTTGGTCATAATATGAGTCGTTTCCTAAACGCTCTGTTATGAGTATATGACGAATTAAATTAAATGTCTTACCTGAACCCATCTTTCCACAATAGAAATACACACCATTTGAACAGAACTCATAATCTTACTGAAAGGAAGAATGAGAGAAGAGTTAAGTTTGTCTGTAGTTTCATTCATGTCTTCATCTACGTCATGTATTAAATGCTTCATTTTATCTCCATTAAAAATGCAAGTCAGAAATATTCAGAACATAGCACCGAGTCTAACTGACAAGAGTATAAAGATATACTATGAACACGTTATGATGAAACCTACCAAAATTCAAGAAAGTCAGTATACTTATGAATATCCAAGACACTGGGTAGAGTATGTAGGAGGTGAGAAAGCTATTGAAATCAGACAGGTTCGAAGTATTCCAGCAGGAAGAACAATATTATTGAAGAACTTTAATGTTTTGAGGTATAATGATGAAACAAAGAAGCAAGATAGTTTTCCTGTTGCTGTGTATGTGAACCTAGACACAGGAGATGACATGAAAGTTTTTAACACAAAGCTTCAAACGGTAGTGAGAGAACAACTGACTGCGGAAGGACATCCATTACCTTCAGAAGTTAGCATAGCATATAATTTTGAAACAAACTCAATAGATTTTAAAGTCATCTCTGCAAAGAAGTCAGGTTTTACATTTAATGAAGCAGATGTATATTCGAATGAAAACTTCAAAGCTATTGCATGGTTAGATAATGACGATTGCTTTAAGAAAATATTTAAATTCAGTGACTCAACGATGTCAATAGATGACCTTCGTGGAATGTTACCATCGACGTTTACAGTTGAAGGTTCAGCAGGATTGCTTACAAGATTGTCAATTGGTGGTATTTGGTCTCGTGAGAACATTGTTATAAAATCCAGTATAAGTGAATTTGCTGAAGAATCTATATTATGTCTTTCAAACTATATGTATTCGCCGCCGAAGCATTATAGTATAACAAACTTTGTCAGTAAGTTTAACATAAGACTTGTCGAACCTTCTTCAATGAAAGATGTTGTGCTACCTAAAGATCGGAAAGGATGGACTCATTATTGAGATGATTTTAATAGCATATTAAATGAGCTTGTTTTTAAAGGTCATTCATGATGAAATAACTGTTGTAGAAGATGTTAGCAATTGTTCAGACATTTTGAAGCGAATAGATGATATAAGAAAGAAGTTTATGAAGCCGCAACGCGGCGAGGACGAAGTCCATGAGAATGTTTATGTTTCATTGACTTTCTCCAGTAACGAGAACTTTTATGAGATAATATTGAAGAGAGATGATTTTAATATGGTGTAAATGGTAGCTTGGGCAGCTTTAGGCGCAATGGGAACAAAAGCATTAGCATTTGGAGCAAAAGCACTTGGAGCTTATGACGCAGTAAATAAAATGAGTGGAGGAAGAGTTTCGAAGACATTAGATGCAAATAAAGGGAAGATTGGAGGCTGGGTTGCAAAGAAGTTAAGATTAAATAAAATAGGGCTCATAAATAAAGCATCCAATTTGGTTGCGACTGAGTCAGAAAATGCTTTAGGAAAGGACGATGAGTTTGCAAAACACGCAAAAGACTTTAATGACCAGATGAAAGGTGAAACAATGCATTTAAATAGAGTCGATGGAACTCTTCCTCCACCAGTAGTTCTTCCGTATGGTCCCTATGGAATGTATGGAAACCCTTACGAAAGACCATTTGACCCATTGACTGGTGGAAGTAACTGGTATCATTACGGACGAAGAAGAAAGACAGTTAAGCTGGAGACAGACGTGAAGAAAGCAACTAAAAAGAAACCAAGGAAGAGAGTTATAAAGTAATGAATTCAAGTGGGTGAAAAAAGAGGTGAAAAAAGAGGTGAGATGTCACCTCTTCACCTAAATTTATTTTTGTGCTATGTTTTCATACGTGTGAGGGTGGTGATATCATTTATTTTTAAGTTTATTTTTATATAAATGACAAAACAAAAATATAACATATCTACTCAACAGGAATGAGACCCTTACTGACTATGTATTCGTTTAATGCTTGATGAAAACAATGGTACATATTATCGTATGGGTATACACAGCGTCTGTTTCCATCGTCGTCGTATATGTAGAGCTCAAATCCAGTCCAACCTTCTTTTGTACAATATGTAGCTTTATTTAAGTATGCATTTATGTAGATAAGGCAATTTTCTTCATCGCTCCAGAAATAATTTTTGTTCTTTGTTGAAATAGTTTTCGTTCCTCTGCGACCATAAGGAATGTATGCAATGAACTTTGCATCATAAGGGATTGTAATATATTCAGGGTTTCTTTCATCGTCAATGGGTCTGTCTTTGTTAAAATGCATGTTTCTCAGTTTTACTTGAGTTTTGAATAGTTCACGGAAACGTTCTGGGAAAGAGTCATAGTAAATGTAGTCGGACATGTCTTTGTAATGAAATAAAAAATTTAAAAAAATAAAAATAAGGTTATTTTTTATTTAGTGAGGACGGTAGTGAGGACGGTAGTGAAGTCGTTAGTGAAGTCATTAGTGAAGTCGTTTATGTGTCAGATAGTTTTGTAAATATTTAAGGTTAAGTTGGTGTTATGGTTGTGTTGTAAAATATACGTTACTGGTTTCGTAAAGTGTCAAAACCGCTAAGTTGTGTACGGAGGCGCGCAGTGCCACAGTACACGACTTAACCATACTAACTAAGAATAAAGAAGCAATTAGTGACGTTGCTGAATCAATAACACCAAAAGCCGCCCCAATAAGAGAAATATTAAATAAAGGAGAAAAAGTTTATCAAAGACTTCAACCGATACTAAGATAAAAATAATTTATTTTTCCACTATCTACCTCCTATTTTATTAAGTATTCCTTCAGCTATTCCACCAACTGCGTTACCTGCTTGTGCTCCCATCGCCGGATTACCTGCTTTAGTACCTAATACTCCACCTATGATAGTTCCTGCCGTTTTCGCTACTGGTGCCAAAAAGTTTGCAACAGGTTTAATAACCTTTTTATAAACCCAACCCGCAGCTTTCTTAATTCCATCCCATAATTTTTTAAAGAATCCTGCCGCCATTTCTGATTTAACATTAATTAAAAAATATATTTCATCACTTATATTCTAATTTTTATTTAATGATAAATGAAACCAATTTTAAAAATAAATGAAACAGAGGAAGAAATAAGTAAAGATGTTCAGCAAAAAATAAACGTTGTTAAACCAATTACTGAAATAAAAAATTTTTCATCTGTTGAAGAATTTAATGACTATTATACTAATAATAAAAAATTATTTGAAGAATTGACAACATGTAAATTGAATAAAATGTTTAAAGTTGATGGATTCAAAATTTCAAAAATAAAAGGGGTGGTTAGTTTGAAATCTATTCCTCAATCAAGAATCACCTCATTAATGAAAATTGATGATTTAACAAAAAGAATAGAAGAGATTGAAGAAAGAATGAATCAAATAATTGATTTCATAAATTCAAATAATCATTAGTTTCTTAAAGTTCAATGTTGATTCTGAGACATGAATTTTTAAATTTTATTTTTTTATTTCATTATGGTAGTGAATCTTTCATTCATGAAAATAATTATTTCTAATTTCTTTTACTCGTTTATGAGGTCTTTGATTATGACTCCATTGATTCCATTCAGGATTTAAACAATGTTTAATTAATCGCGGAATATCTGACATCATCTATATATAGCTTCTTTTATAAAAGATAAAAAATAAATTATTTTAAAATTAATGTTAATTTTCTAATGTGTTTATTTCATTATGTATGGGCTGAGTGTAAATGTCTTACAATTTTGAAAATTTTTTAAATCTTGATTTATTCAAAAACGTAAGAATAAAAACCGTCAGAATCATACATTTTTTACTTCATATGTTAAAAAAAATGATACAAAATCGCTCGATATTGTATGAATTCTTACGTTTACAAAAAAAGTCACACAACCCTTCCTATCCTACTACTAATTTTTCTTTCTTGATTTTTTACAAAATCTACTTAGAATTATGCAAAATATGACTAAATAATTATAAATTTCAAGTTAAATTTTAATTTTGATAAATAATTTAAATTTCAAAATATCAAGTTCAGTTCGACTATGTATGTAGTAATTCCTCAATAAAGTGCCAAAACCCTATTAAAATATATGAACATTTTCAACATTTTAATGTTTTTATTTAAAAATTTGATGGAATATGAGCTTCAAACAATTATTATGTAAATAAAAATAATTAAATATATGTATTTATTCGTATTACAACCGTAGTAAGTCGATTCTTCCTTTCTTCTACTGAGTTTTGAATTTGATTTCGAATTGTAAAGAGATTCAAAGGGAAAATACTAGCGGATAAAAACTACCTCCATGAAAGGGTCATAATGGACTCAAGTTGTATTTTTTGATATTTTTTGCTTTTCGAGCCTAAATAGGTAGCCAAGATAATGCCTAAAAATAAGGTTCTAAATTCTGAAGTTTACATGATCCTCTCGTGTGCACCCTTAATATTTCAGTAATAGAAATCAGATATTCATTTACCATCGAGAGCCGAGTCCAACTATGATATAAGCAAAGGATAATATTTAAATATTTTGCTTCTTGTTATGGAAAAACATTGATCAGTCTTTGAATTTTTAATGATTCAATTCCATCTTGTTGAAGGTGAACAAATTTATTTGAAACTGCTATGATATCAATTTCCTAGATCTTAGGAGAAGATTTTGGATTTTAAATTTGTCACTTTTTGAAAGTAGTTCAAAATGAAGTTTCAATATACCATAATTATCTTATGAATGCATTCTTCAAATTTAACAAAACTTGGGAGAATATGATGTTGGTAAATTACTATACACATGCACGAATAAACTTCAATGGTATATATGAATCCCAGTTGATAGAAATTCATTCCGGAGTTGTTATAAAAAAATATGACAAAAATAAAACCGATTTTAGTAAACAATATTATAATTATTATTTATTATTCGAAATTATAACAGAAAATACTACAAAATAAATAAAAATAACGCATAAATAACAAAAAATAAAAATTATAAACAAACAACAAAAAAATTAAAATAAAAATTTCTAATCAGAAGTTCTAGTGTAAAACAATATGTAAGCATTCTGGTTATGTGCTACCAAACATGACGAGCATCTCATTGCCTGTAAATCATTAAATTCTGCCCATACATTATCACTCAATTTTGCGTGTGCTGTGTAATGTCCTGAAGCAATTCTTCCTCCGTGTTCTATAACTGCGGACAGTTCGTATGTATGTTTTCCGTTCATGTCGCTGATCTCCAAGTTATCTGGATATGTGACCAATATAGTGTTCTTCCTTGAGTTTCCATTCACAGAGTCAAATCTCTTCAAAGCGAAAATCAGAACTTTCGGAAGTCGCCAAATTTTTACTGATTTTCTCGGAGTCACGCATTCATTGCAAGAAGCGCATTTCCACATCTCATTGAACTCTGTTGGTCTCGCGGCATCGTCAATGAGTGTTTGGATGTCGACTTCTCGAACTTGCGCTGCACTTTGGTTGTTTACAATGTTTCTGACAACTCTTGGCCATGAAACATCTTCTGTATCCGAAATTATGGCTGTTACGGTTCTACCTGCAATGTGTTTGATGTTTGATGGTGGATAGAACTTCTTCGTCTTCAAGAAAAGTGATTTCGGAACTTCAATGGTGATTTTTTGGTTGCCAGATTTCTTAATTGGCCGAATACTTGGTAAAATATTGGATAATGATGGAGGAATGAAGGACTGATCGGTCTGTTCCCATAAGTATTTGAAGTATTCTTCGCAGCAACAGCGGACTTCCTCGGATTTGCAGGTTGGACCAGGAATTGGGACCAAAAATGGACCTTCGACAACTCTGAGAGAAACCATCTTGTTCGTATTGACTGCAAGTTTAACGGAGGCATAGAGTTGGTCGTCCTGGGAAAGCTCATATACAATTAATGAGTTTGTTCGTAATCCTTGCTCTGGTCCTGGGCTCCATTCGACAGAGAAGTCGTTGGATTGGGTACCAAATGCACAGGAGATCTGTTTATTGAGGAATCTGGACAAATCTTCTGTAAAAGTGACTGCATCTGCCGTAGGATTGGAAAGTGGGATTCGCATTGAGCTCTTTGGCTGCTTGGGATCAAGAGGAACAAACACAAATGGGGAGGAAAGTGTTTTTGGAGCTGGTAATTGTAATAAAATTGATGTGAACGGAGAAAACTGAACTGTTTCGCCTTTGCAGTGAGGACAAATTGTTGAGGATCTCGTCTGGCCATGGAATATGTCTGTAATGACGCTGCTCTTCGAGTTTTGGAGGTGTTGATGCCATTCGTCATCGGCTCGCTCGTAATCTGATGAGTAATTGTCTTTACTGACAAATGTAGATGCTTTCTGTTTGTCTTTTGATGTAGAATTTAGTGAATCGAGTAAAATTGTCAAAAATTCATGGGCGTCTTGTTGAAGACAGCCTTGAAAAGCTGGGGATTCTTTTTCTACGAGCAATTTGATTTCTGATGGATTCATTGGCCCGACTTTTAAGTCATTGTAATATAATCTGAAGAAATCTGCAAATTTCTGCATGTTTTCGGTCATTATTTTACTGTTAGGATCTAAGTGGCTTGAGTCTTCAAGCATGTAGTTCATCAGAGGCTTGAGATGTAATAAACATTGTAAAACAGAGCCCATGTAGCAGGAATTGCCTATATTATTAATTCCACGAAGTCCAGGTACGTGCGTTGAAGGCTGGTCTTCTACCCTAGGTCGTATGGCTGGGCAACTAACTCTAGCGTCAAAACTAGTATTTGGAGTTCCCAGTTGAATACGTGGGTGCGAAGACCTTTCAAATGTAACACCGCTAGAATTAACTTGAGGTTGAGGTTTATCGGATGTCGTATTCGTTTCTTTTTTATGAACTGATGGAAAAGCTTCTTTTTGAGCTTGTTGCTGCTGAATTTGCATCTGCTGCATCTGTTGTAATTGCTGGAATTGCTTAGCTCTATCCAGAGCCGTCAGTTTCCCTGGTTCGCGCATTCTATATTGTTGTGAATCTCTTCTGATTCCATTTTTGAATTCTGGCTTAGTCAAAACCATTTGGGCGCTGAAGGTAGCTCTTACGTGAGGAAATGAAGCTGTAGGCTGTGATTGAGTATTTGGAGATTGAGTCGACTCTGAATTTTCATTTTCTTCAGGGTAATCGCCCAGCTCTATCAAGAGGTCTGTATTTACAAAGAGTGAGTACTCACAAATGACTTGGTTAGGAAAGAGAAAACGGCCAGGTTTATGTTGCCAATAATCTCTCATTCTGTAGCCCGTAGGGTCTTTAATATCGAATTTAGCACATGCTGCTTCGATGAGCTGAGTAACTTTTAAAAATTTCGAAATCATAATCTTTTCAACTTTTCCTTCATAATGAATTTTAAAACCATGCAATTTCGTAACGGGAACACCTTTTTTAGATTTAGGGTCATAGCCTACATCGACTTCTACAACGGGCCCGCCACCATATGTCGTTATTAAAACATTCCAAATTGAAAAAGGTACTACAACATAGTCAACATCTTGAATTTTATCGAAATAATTAACTATTTGCGAATTATCGATTGCCGGTAATTTTGGATGTCCAACTTTTTCTTCATCATCAGATAAAGAATCTTTCCATGAATTAAACCAAGAACTCGAAACCGCATATGCAGTTTCACCAGGCGTAAAAGTTAATTTCTGCAGAAGTTCTTTCACTACTCTATTTTCGTGTAGAGCCTCAGTCATAACTTTTATTGCTTTACTTTATTTATTTTTCAATACTTTTCAATGTTAATTTATTTCATCTTATTTTAGAAATATGGATGCATATTATAAATGGAGTAATTCTCAACTTTTTGCCATTAAGCGGTTTCTTTATTTTCCCTCGCACTCGAGATTTTTTTGTTTTTAAAATTGGTTCATTGTTTTGAATGTTCCCCTGATGCAAGTACAGAAATTAATGTCACACACGTTTTAATACTATATTTACAATTAAGAATTTTTTTGATTCTGATTATTTCATGTTTAAATTAAATGTTTGTTATTAGCATATCATAAGTATCATATTTCCTTTATTTTTAAGTCTCAGAATTTGGAAGAAATTCAGAAAATTGGGCGCGTAAAGGTTTGGCGTCCTAAGGCGTCCTGATGTAAACTATTCAATTTTTGCGAAGTTTACACCATAATTGAATAGTTTATGGCGTCCTGAGAGGAGATTTCAATGGGTATGGCGTCCTAAAAAATAGAAGAAAATGATTTTTTCTCGATTTTTCTAGAAATTGAATTTTTTAAAAAAGAAAAAAATCAAAACGTATACATTCAAGAAAGACTATAAATGAAGATTTTTCTATTTTTTTTCATTCTAAAACATCTTTTTTTGGATAATTTTTTTAATAAATATGTAAGAAAGATTGAAGAAAAAGTAAATTTACTTTAAGAAAATTCGTTTTACATGATGTAAGACCCATAACAACTATAAATATTCAATTATTTAAAATAAAAAAAGAAAAACAGATTAAATGTATCTCACATCAAAATCCATTGACCTAATGTAATAAACAGAAATTCATCAAAAGTGACAGCTCTCAATTTTTTGACATTTGTAAATTCTAAATTGAATGAGAAAAATGAAATAATACTAAGCATAATACAATATTCTAGATTTAATTATAATTAGGAAAAAGTTAGTTTTGAGAGTACTTTTCATAGGCATATAGAATGAAATCTTCTGAAAAATAATATCACATAAACTCATATTATTTTCTAATATATAACTATTTTATATAAAAATCAAATTCAATGATCTTAAAAGCGAAGGATAAACCTCAAAATTTACGAATATAATGAGTGGGAATATAATGCTTATCTATCATAAAACCATATGAAATATCAATTTTTGCTTTACGCCTAATTTTTGACGACAATTAGCAAAAAATGTTAAATGTTAACACTCAGTCCATTTGAATATGAAAAATAAAATTGACTTTGATTAAATGTTTTTATTTATCATGCAATTCTTCTTGCGACCAAAGAGTTGAATAAAATTTCAAAAAATAAGATAGCTTAAAAAATAATATACGGTAGTGTTTACTAATAGATGAATAGTATATAAATTCTATTAAAATGGATTTGATCCAAAAAAATATATAAAATTTGATCATAAATAAAATCGTTTTAAATTACTTCTTCATTTAAATTAGAGGGGGACACAAACTTGCCCAGTGAGGTGAAGTGAAAAGTGACATGTTTACATATCAGAAATGTAAAGTGTCAGATTTGAAACAAAAAATGGATTAATTTATTATTATATGATAGAGAGATTTGGTAAGTTACTATCAAATTTGTAAGTAAGGGGGGAAAAAAAGTAAGAAAGAAAAAAAATTTTTAAAAAATAAAAAGCCACTCGCTTCGCTCGCGGTTGACAAAAAGAACAAATTCGTAAAATAATTGTATGAAATTACGAAACTAAGCCGCGAGCGAAGCGAGTGGCTTAAGAAAAGAACAGATTCGAAAAAAGATTGTATGAAATTACGAAACTAAGCCACTCGCTTCGCTCGCGGCTGACGAAAAGAACAGATTCGAAAAAAGATTGTACGAAACTACGAAACTAAGCCACTCGCTTCGCTCGCGGCTGACGAAAAGAACAGATTCGAAAAAAGATTGTACGAAACTACGAAACTAAGCCACTCGCTTCGCTCGCGGCTGACGAAAAGAACAGATTCGAAAAAAGATTGTACGAAATTACGAAACTAAGCCGCGAGCGAAGCGAGCGGCTTAAGTAAACAACATATTTCAGATTATCGATACTAAAATTTTTTTATTTTATTACATTTTTTTTGCATTTTTTTTAAGGGTGCACACGAGAGGATCATGTAAACTTCAGAATTTACAACCTTATTTTTATGCATTATCTTGGCTACCTATTTAGGCTCGAAAAGCAAAAAATATCAAAAAATACAACTTGACTCCATTATGACCCTTTCATGGAGGTAGTTTTTATCCGCTAGTATTTTCCCTTTGAATCTCTTTACAATTCGAAATCAAATTCAAACCTCAGTAGAAGAAAGGAAGAATCGACTTACTACGGTTGTAATACGAATAAATACATATCTTTAATTATTTTTATTTACATAATAATTGTTTGAAGCTCATATTCCATCAAATTTTTAAATAAAAACATTAAAATGTTGAAAATGTTCATATATTTTAATAGGGTTTTGGCACTTTATTGAGGAATTACTACATACATAGTCGAACTGAACTTGATATTTTGAAATTTAAATTATTTATCAAAATTAAAATTTAACTTGAAATTTATAATTATTTAGTCATATTTTGCATAATTCTAAGTAGATTTTGTAAAAAATCAAGAAAGAAAAATTTTAACGTGCTTTATTTTTTCTTTTTTATAATAATACATATTATTATATAATTAACATATTCATAATGGTTCACCCTTTCAAAAATATAATCCTCCTCCTCTCAAATAAACGTACATACGGGTGGCCTCTTTTTTTCAAAAAATTAAAATTTGAAATTTTGGGCTCAAATATTAGAGATTTTTTCAACCTTCAACGATATATGTTGTCTATATCAGACCTCCTTTCTTTTTGATACTTAACATTGTTCCTAAATCTTAGCCGTTAAGGCTGTTCTGAAAATATTTTTTTTTCGAAAAAATTCGAAAAAAATTCTTAAAATTCAAAAATCCCTTAATTCCTGAGGATTTTGGAAAAAAGTTTTTACATGAACATGTGTATATTATATGAAGTGTATTGATAAGGTAAAAATCAAATTTTATTGCATATTCATCGAGAAAATAAACTAACGAATCCCTCAAAATTGAGAGGGTAATCCTCCTCCTCTCAAATAAACTTACATACGGGTGCACCCTTAAGAAGCTAAATTCTGAAGTTTACATGATCCTCTCGTGTGCCCCCTTAAAAAAATGCAAAAAAATTGAATACTTTACTGGCTGGGCAAATTTGTCGCCGCCCCATTTAAATTATAACAATTATTTTTGGTTTTATATTTTTTTGGATCAAATCCATTTTAATAGAATTTATATACTATTCATCTATTAGTAAACACTACCGTATATTATTTTTTAAGCTATCTTATTTTTTGAAATTTTATTCAAATCTTTGGTCGCAAGAAGAATTGCATGATAAATAAAAACATTTAATCAAAGTCAATTTTATTTTTCATATTCAAATGGACTGAGTGTTAACATTTAACATTTTTTGCTAATTGTCGTCAAAAATTAGGCGTAAAGCAAAAATTGATATTTCATATGGTTTTATGATAGATAAGCATTATATTCCCACTCATTATATTCGTAAATTTTGAGGTTTATCCTTCGCTTTTAAGATCATTGAATTTGATTTTTATATAAAATAGTTATATATTAGAAAATAATATGAGTTTATGTGATATTATTTTTCAGAAGATTTTGTGTTCTTCTTCAAAATTTTATTTTTTTATTAAAAAGAATCTTTACAAAATATACATTTACTTTAATTAATATTTAAAAACGTGCTCTATCAAAAGTTCCAAAAATTCAATATTTTAGCTTTTCTGAGGTGGCACTTTTGATGAATTTCTGTTTACAACACTAAGGATGTTAAGTTTCGAGAAAGGGACAGACTAGCCCATTGTCACTTTTTAATTTAGCAAATGAACGCTTATGGAGTGGAGTTTTTGGGTAAATCTGATTTGCTTATAAATGAAATAAAATCAAAAGAAACCATATTGGCATTATATTATGCAAAAATAAATGATCTTACTTAGTACTTTTAAAGTTAATTTCAGAAAAAATTTGACACAATGGTATCCGGCACATACAAGTGGTGTACAACCAAAATATAAGTTAGTTTAAACATATATTGCTATATCTCATGATCTTACTTAGATTTTCTCAGATATTACATCTGCGAGAAATAAGCAATTTCTCTTGGAATTTCTAAATACCCATGAAGATGACTTCACTTATGATCAAACATTGTGAGGTCATTTTTGATCAACAAATTAATTGAAATTCCGATCAAAAAAAATTTCACAAATTGGATCAAAAAAATCGAATCTCAAGTTAAAAATAAAAAATTTCTACATTTTTATCAAATTTAGATTTTTTTTTCAAATCATGCGAATTGATTGAATAATTGCATATTTTATCCCATGCATCTAGAAGTATGTGTAATATTTTTGCTTTCATCAAGAAATTGTCGAATTTGATCTTAATTTTTTTTGAAAAATATACTTTTAGAAAAAGAAATAGTGATTGAATAGCTGCCCATGCTGTAAAAGGGTTATTTTTACAAGTAAAAAAAATTGTTATTTTTCGAGCAAGTCGAGGCTTTTTTACCATCTTATTTTTGAAAAATTTACGAAAAATTATATCTGAAAAAACGCTTCATTTTGATATCTTACAATGATAAAATACCAATGTTGCTGGGATATAATAGCTACACCTGGACATCTACTACATTAATGCGTATGACAGGTAAAGTTGATTTCAAAAGTATAGCCTGGAAAGATTACAATAAATCAACGATAATTCAAAAAAATTTCTTATAAGTTAACATAATAAAAATTTAATTTTTATATTGCTTGTATTATACTTAAGTATATAATATATTTAAATCTTAGAATGAAAATTCGGGACGCCCTAGCTATTCAATTTTCCCTTAGGACGCCCATAAACCTCTCAAAAATATGATGTAAATATCACAATTTTGAGAAATTTACACTAGGACGCCTTAGGACGCCAACCCCCTTTTTTACCAGAAAATTGAATCAATAACATAATTTTTCTCATTTAAGTCTTAAAAATTCATCTTTCTTCAGAGGCTATATATGATGAGGATAACATATTTAAACAATTCCATTATTTTTCAATATGTTATGGGATACTGGCACGAACAAGACGAATAAAATGGAATTTGATCTATACAAAGCGTAAAAGACATATCAATAAAGTGAGAATCTCTGAATTAGAATATGAGAAAAAAAATGTTATGACATGTAAATATAAATCTGACTATTGCATATTTAATAATTTTTTACTCTTCATCCTTTAAAAAATATTCTGCAATTGATTGTGGTGTTTCTCCGTTATTATCTTTTATGTTGTTTTCAGCTCCGTAAGAAATAAGAATATTTGCGATCTCTTTGCTTTTAGACATTGATGCATAATGAAGAGCTGTCATTCCACGATTATCTTTTGCATTAATATCAAAACCATTGGAAATGATGAATTCGATGTGTTTTTCCAGATGCATCAAAACAACTTGATGAAGAATTGTTTGTCCTATTTCATTTTTTGCATTTATATCTGCCCCATGGGAAATTAGAAACTTTGCTCTGTCTTCGCCAACATACAATAAAGCTTCTTGGAAAATGGTATCACCTTGATTATTCTTTTCATTTATATTGGCACCATAGGAAAGAAGAAGTTCTGCTGTTTCGAAACCACCATCAATTACAGCTAAGCGAATAGCACTTGATCCATCTTTATCTTTTGTATTGATGTCAGCACCTTGCGAAAGGAGATATTTTGCAATATCTTTGATATTATAATAGCTTGCAATGTGAAGAGCAGTTTTTCCTTTTTGATCTGTTGAATTTATATTTGTTCCATTAGAAACAAAATATTCGCAGATGGATTGATTATTAAACAGAGGTGAATAAACAAAGCATTTGTTGGAATCATTTGTTAGATCATAATAGACTAAGAATGCTTGGAAATTTTTGAATCGGCCACACATTTCCAAATCAATTTCAAGATCATACTCATTCACCAAGAAAGTTACAAAATCAATGTTATGAGAAATGATAGCATTCTTCATGCAATTTTCTTTTGGTTTTTGAACTTTCAAACATTCACTCATGATTTCTGGATTGCCTCCCAAAAACGAGAAATCAAGACAAGCTTGAGTAATCTCTGAGTTGAATTTAGTTCTTAAAAGCTTGAAACATTGGGCTGAACCATAATAACAGCAAATTTCAAGAAGAGAATTTCCATTCATCGACCATGGAAAGAAATAGGAATTTATTACTTGGTCTTTATCAAATCCATCACTTTCGATCAATGAAATAAATAGGCTTTTATCATCATTCATTATAGCCCATAAAAGCGAATTCTTTTCATGAAAATGCAATAAATAATAATAGTAATAATTTTTTGGATCGTTTTCTGTTAATGATTCGTCATGTCCTGAATAAATCCCATATTCTTTATTAAGAATGGACAATAATACTTTTGGTATATCTTGAGTTTTGCCATGAAGATAATCATCGTAAATCTTTTTAGCAATTAATATATATGACTTGAGATAGCGATTAATATAAATTAGCAAATCGTTTATATCTAATAGGATGCTAATAGGGGAAGCTATTTTTGTTTCAATTAGCTGGGACTTGATTACATGATAAACTTTGTTAATGTCATCTTCCTCATTAGTTTTTAATTTATACAACGCATCGTATGCATCAACATAACCTTTGTAATGATTCATGAGCTCAGTGTAGTGACTATTCATCATGAAAAATAATGATTTCAATGGTGCATTCAATTTGGAAGAATTTTTTTTTCCTTGATTACCTTTATAAAACCAGAATTAACCAACTATGAATTGTGCGCCATCTGAACTATTATAGTTGAAATCATAACAGAATAGCAGTTATTTCCAATTTAAAAAATACTGATTTTAATTATGCAACATTTTCCCTATTTTGAAGATAGTCTTGAATGTTATTGTTACCATTCACTTATTGACTCAAGTTAATTGATATTTTTTGTCTTGAATATTTGCCATGAATATAATTGAGTTTATTCATTAGCCAATACATATGCTAAATGGAAGTAATAAATTTTTCAAAGAAATAATTCAATTATCAAAGAAATATTTTAAGGGTGCGCTTACGCCCGTATGAGATTGTTTTCAATTCCGATTCTTTAAGGTTATTTTTCAATTACCCTTCACGCCTTTTGTCAAGATTTTAAATTAGAGCCAGATGGGTGTAAGTTCATTCTTAAATAGAAGTCATAATAATTCACGAAATAATACAGCAAAAAATTTAATGACTTTAAAACTCATAAAAATCGGTATCATCCATCTCATCAGGCTGATCAATTAAACCATGACGCTTGAACAACTTGATTCTGTTTCTAATCATCCAATCATGTTTATGCGGTAAGAATCGAGCTAGAATCGATGGTTTTTCGATACCTTCTCTAAGCTTTTGAAGTAATATAGTATCTTCCTCTATTGTAAAATGATTAGTAATACCCATGTCGATATCCCTGATGGTGTGTTTGACATTACGGACACTAATGCCAAGTCTCCGGGCAATTTGCTCAGGATCGATTTCTTCAGCATGATGTTCTCTAATCAATTCAGTATCTTCGCTTGTTATAAACTTCTTTGTTGGTGCACGATTGCTCATGATTTTGTAAATTCAATTGATGCAATTTTTTCCCACTACATTCAATTTTTATATATATTCGAAATCTGCAAATAACGTCTCTATTGTGTCATTAGTTGATAAATAGAATATTGACAGAATTCAATTTATCAATCTTGCTTTGGATCCTCTCAATTTTATTTTGAGTATTCTCACAGGTATTATAATCAAAAATTATAATGGCCTATGGATATACTATTCATTATTCCAAGTGCGATTTTCTATTCAATTTATTTTGGCAACGTTTTAAAAATTTTCGGAATAAATTTCATAAAAGCATATCTGCTATAATCTTAATGATTATCATTCTAATCCAAGTTCTTGATCACATGAGTTAGATTTCCATTAATCAAGGAGATTTTTGTGATTGTATACGCATCTTAATATAATGCGCATCCACATGAACCATTATATTAAATAATGAATATTATACGTGCATTCTCAATTTTTAGATAAAACTAGAAATCATATTCTTCGCGTCTATCTCTCAAAATTTGAGTGAATTGATTGGTTTTCACATGAATTATATGATTTCAAGTTTACCTCTTAATTTATGTGATATTTTATGTACTTTTATCTCGACATTGAAAAAGATTTATAGTGAACTTTCTTTAATCATAAATACCAACATAAATTCAAGTATATAATTAACATAGTTTCATTCAATTAAATCAAATCTACCGCTATAACAAAAATAATTTCTTTATTGTTATAGCTAATATGCAGACAGTTAATACATTTAAATCATAATCTTCGTTTCTTGCATAGCCAAAATTTTTCCATTTAAGGGTGTCCCTACCTCTTTTTGACATGCACTAATAGTGTCAATTTATCTTTATTTTAATAGTAAAAAAGTTCAATAGCCTAATTAGGTACTATATAGCGATTTATATTAACTTTTTCCTACCAAAAATATTAACTTTTGATCTTAGGAAATTGGGATCTCAAGCTTGGATGTTTAAAAAAACGAGAATGTCAGAAAGTGGTAAGTGCACCCTTATTTCACTAAAATGATTGTTCTTTAATCTTCATAGGGAAATCAAAGCTCAAAATAGAGTTAAATTTGTTGTTCATGTATTAAGTGTGATGAAATATCTCATCACCTTTTGAATTTCAAATGAAAGGAGAAAACACTGTAAGCTTGAGAAATATGATAAGTACATTTATTATCAAAATATTTGAACTTTCTTTATGTATTTAGATCTAATGCAAAAAAATGATATATGCTATGCATATTATCCCCTTTTTGACATGCCGTATATTTGTGAATTTTTGCTAAAAAGAGAAGCAAATGCTAATGCAGAGTTAAGGCCGCACTTACCCCCATCTGACTTTAATTCAAAATTTTGACAACTGGAGTGAAGCGCCATTGAAATTTAACCTTAATATCTGAATTGAATGCCCTGCCATATGGGCGTAAGTGCACCCTTAAATATTGGTAAAATTTTCCTTCATTTTGCTTCATTTCATATTAAAATAGGTGTTTTAAATTTTCGAATTTTGGATGGAACAGACATAATGCACTCCATGTTGCAGCCCAGAAAAGCTACAAATAAATAAATAATATCTAATATCAATGCGAAAAACAACTATTAATACAATCCCCTCCATGTAGGGCTGTACAAAATCGAGAAAAACATTGCCGTGCGGTAATATAGGGTCAAAAAAATCGCGCCTTGGCGGCTCCGCCGCCTCGGCACTATTAAGTGCGCATTATATTTAATATGTCCTTCTTTTTTTTTCTTTTTTCTTCTTCTTTTCCTTTCCTTCTTCCTCTCCTTCCTCTTCTTTCCTTCTCCTTCTCTTTTTACAACAACGTCGAAGATCTTCGAATTTGATTGTTGGAAAAGCATCTATTTCAGATAAAGGATGCCTTTCTCACAGTCAACATACGAGGGTCCTGGCTGAAACGTTCTCAAAAAGCCTGAGATGGTAATTCTCTGATCACTCATAGCTGGGCAGGTAGTCATTGCTGACAATACCTGTCTTTATGCATGCACGCTTTCATGTATATGGGTTTACACTATCAAAGTTAGTATGGGTTAGTTGGGTATGGTGGCACTGCGTTCCACCTTACCCAATACTTGTGAATTTGACACTTTACAAAACCACTAACGTATATTTTACAACACAAACGACAACACTAACTTAACCTTAAATATTTACAAAGCCGCCAACCACTTCACCTCACTAACGAACTCACTAATGAAAAAATAAACGTTCTCATAAATTTTCTTCTATATCTTCATCGTCAATGTTAACTCTATTGTAGTCATACTTGAAGTCATAAAGTTTCTCAAGTTTTGAAATGCATAGTCTTGTTAACTTACCTTCATCATCATAAGTTTTTATAAAACTACCATGACAATCTTTATACACAGTCAATGTATAGTCAACTGGTCTAGGATGAAGTGTAAAGAACATGTTATACTCAGGAAGGAAGAATAAATGTTTAAATGTATGTTTGTTATATTTTTCGATTTGTATGAGTTGCTTTTGTTCTGTCATTTATATAAAAATAAAATAAAAAATAAAATAAAAAATAAACTTAAAAATTAATGATATCACCACCCTCACACGTATGAAAACATAGCACAAAAATAATGTTTAGGTGAAGTGGTGAGATCTCATCTCTTTTTTCACCTGTTTTTTCACCCTGTTGAATTCATTGCTTTATAACTCTCTTCCTTGTTTTCTTTTTAGTTGCTTTCTTCACGTCTGTCTCCAGCTTGACTGTCTTTCTTCTTCGGCCGTAATGATACCAGTTACTTCCACCAGTCAATGGGTCAAATGGTCGTTCATAAGGGTTTCCATACATTCCATAGGGACCATACGGAAGAACTACTGGTGGAGAAGAAACATTTTCTTTAGTTCCATCGAATCTATTTAAATGCATTGTTTCACCTTTCATCTGGTCATTAAAGTCTTTTGCGTGTTTTGCAAACTCATCGTCCTTTCCTAAAGCATTTTCTGACTCAGTCGCAACTAAATTGGATGCTTTATTTATGAGCCCTATTTTATTTAATCTTAACTTCTTTGCAACCCAGCCTCCAATCTTTCCTTTATTTGCATCTAATGTCTTCGAAACCCTTCCTCCACTCATTTTATTTACTGCGTCATAAGCTCCAAGTGCTTTTGCTCCAAATGCTAATGCTTTTGTTCCCATTGCGCCTAAAGCTGCCCAAGCTACCATTTACACCATATTAAAATCATCTCTCTTCAATATTATCTCATAAAAGTTCTCGTTACTGGAGAAAGTCAATGAAACATAAACATTCTCACGGGCTTCGCCCTCACCGCTTTGCGGTCTATCTAACTTCTTTCTTATCTCATCTATACGCTTCAAAATGTCTGAACAATTGCTAACATCTTCTACAACAATTATTTCATCATGAATGACCTTCAAAAACAAACTCATTTAATATGCTATTAAAATCATCTCAATAATGAGTCCATCCTTTCCGTCTTTAGGTAGCACAACATCTTTCATTGAAGAAGGTTCGACAAGTCTTATGTTAAACTTACTGACAAAGTTTGTTATACTATAATGCTTCGGCGGCGAATACATGTAGTTTGAAAGACATAATATAGATTCTTCAGCAAATTCACTTATACTGGATTTTATAACAATGTTCTCACGAGACCAAATACCACCAATTGACAATCTTGTAAGCAATCCTGCTGAACCTTCTACTGTAAACGTCGATGGTAACATTCCACGAAGGTCATCTATTGACATCTTTGAGTCACTGAATTTAAATATTTTCTTAAAGCAATCGTCATTATCTAACCATGCAATAGCTTTGAAGTTTTCATTCGAATATACATCTGCTTCATTAAATGTAAAACCTGACTTCTTTGCAGAGATGACTTTAAAATCTATTGAGTTTGTTTCAAAATTATATGCTATGGTAACTTCTGAAGGTAATGGATGTCCTTCCGCAGTAAGTTGTTCTCTCACTACCGTTTGAAGTTTTGTATTAAAAACTTTCATGTCATCTCCTGTATCTAAGTTCACATACACAGCAACAGGGAAACTATCTTGCTTCTTTGTTTCATCATTATACCTCAAAACATTAAAGTTCTTCAATAATATTGTTCTTCCTGCTGGAATACTTCGAACCTGTCTGATTTCAATAGCTTTCTCACCTCCTACTACTACCCAGTGTCTTGGATATTCATAAGTATACTGACTTTCTTGAATTTTGGTAGGTTTCATCATAACGTGTTCATAGTATATCTTTATACTCTTGTCAGTTAGACTCGGTGCTATGTTCTGAATATTTCTGACTTGCATTTTTAATGGAGATAAAATGAAGCATTTAATACATGACGTAAATGAAGACATGAATGAAACTACAGACAAACTTAACTCTTCTCTTATTCTTCCTTTCAGCAAAGATTATGAGTTCTGTTCAAATGGTGTGTATTTCTATTGTGGAAAGATGGGTTCAGGTAAGACATTTAACCTCATTCGTCATATACTCATAACAGAACGTTTAGGAAATGACTCATATTATGACCAAATCATTATATCAGCAACTTCAGATTCTATGGACTCAACAGCGAAAACATTTATGTCAAAAGTTCAAGCCTCTGTCGTTAAAGTTCCAGACAGTGAACTCATTGAATTTCTTCAACGTTACATTCGACGTAAGAGGAAATATTATGCCATTGTTGAATTTATACAGTCAGGAATGCAAAAGACTTCTGAGGAGATGGAAAGAATTATTGACAAACAACACTTACGTCAGTACTCAGGAGTTTACGATATGAAACGACTGACAAACTACATTCTATCAAAACTTTCAAAATACCCCTTCAAAAAATATCCTTCAAACACTCTGCTCGTTTGCGACGACTTCGCCGGAAAAGGTTTAGTTTCAAAGCCTGACTCACCATTAGCTAACATCATTACTAAAGTCAGACATTACATTTAACTGTAGCAATACTTATGCAAACATGGAGGTTTTTAGCTCTTA